ACAGACCCCCAGCGCCCTCCTCCCCTTCAGACTCAGATGCTGCTTAGCCACAGGGGCAACTGTGGGCCAGCACTGTCACAGGGTCATCTCTGTGTGCCTCACCCCACCATGGTGGGTGGTGTGAGCCCTGACTTCTGATGCGGGACATGAGGGTCTGGGGGTCACACAGCGGTGGAGGTTGAGCTGCAGTCTCCCAGCCCCCACCCCAGTGCTGCTCCCTCCACGTGGCTCTCTGTTCCTGTGGGAACGGCTTTCCTCTCCTGGGCCGAAAAGAGGGCACCATATTTCCAGCTTAAAGCAGCAAATGAGGGATTTGTGTGTGTTTGGGGGCGGGGGTGGGGTGTCCTCTCCTAAGCCTGGCCTAGCAGCTAACATCTCGGAGCAGCTCTCAGCCCGTTAGCTCACCTTCTCCTGATGCGGAGAACTATTCAACATTGTTTTTTTAATTAGACCTTCAGAGACTCCTTGAGCTGCTGTGAAGAACTGACTTTGCAACACTTCAGTCTGAAGGGAGCCCAGGGAAGGTCTTTCTGAATCTAGACAATTCCTGCCTCTGACCTCCCGGCAAGTGCTGGCATAACAGACCCCACCATGGCCACCTCTTTCTGGACGAGGTCCCCAGCCCCACCTGCCTGGGCCAGATTTGGAAGGACCACCTGATGGTCCAGAGCCGCCCCATGTGAGAAACGCCTGGTTCTTCTCTCTGGGACCTGGATCTGCCACCGGAGGCACCTCTCAAGCTGTGAGCATCCTTCCCACGTGTGATGAGAAGCAAACACTGTGGGCTCCACCGAGGAAGGCCTGGGGCCGGCCCGGAGGACCAGCACTGCTCTGTGCCATGAGGCCATCAGCGGATGTTTCTGTGGTCCCGGGGGGACCCTGTCTTCTGCCCGCTGGTCTGTACCTGGCATCAGTGCCCTGGCAGGTCAAGCCTCTGCCGTCACAGGGGCACAGCTGAGGACCCTCTGGAGGCTGGAGCCATTCTGCCCAGGCCCCCCATCCCAGTGCACACTGCTCAGTCACCCACACCCCCCGCAGGAGAGGTCCCCATCCCAGTCATCCCACTTAGCACCACAGCAGTTGACACCCCACCCCCCCACTCCATGAGACGCTTGCGGGACAGGCGGCTGGTGCAGTGAGCAGGGGCTTGCCCAGCAGACCCCCAGCTCCCCATTACGCATGGTTCCTTTAGGATGCGTGGAATGCAGGTGTGTGCAGTCCTCACTGTCCCCGGTGGGCCTCCTCTGATGTCACCTGACTGTGAGACTTGGGTCTCAGGCTTACCTGGTGGGAGTCCAGGGGCTGTTCTCAATCAGAGGAGCAACATGCAGCTTGGGTACAGGGTCCAAGCCTGAGACCCCTCCCCACGTGGGTACCACTTGTTTTGTCTCCTCCTGTCACATAACTGCACACACACAAATGTACCGAGAAGAAAACCTACCCCCGCCCCTTATAGAACATGTGCTCCGAAAACAGTATTTAACAAAAGATAATAATAAATTCGATGCCAGTCTTTGAGTTACAGTGAATGGGTTCTCAGCTAAGTCCCAGCTCTCTGAAGATTTTATTCCAGCCTGCCTCTCGCCGGATCGTCAGCCCCATGAGGCCACTGGACAAGCCACGCGAAGGGAAGGTCAGCAGAGGCGGCTCAGCACCCCTCCTCTCCCAGCCGCCAGCAGAGGGCGCGGGAGCACCGGGACGCCCGGCCGGGGAGCGTGCGGCGCGGCTTCCTCTAACGCTTGTGGATAAAGTGGCAGCGTCTTGTCCCCACCTCCTAGAGCCGAGCGCTGCCTCGGGCCCTGAGGGCCTGGGAGCACCGCCCAGGCCGGGCGCCTGCTGCCAGCTCCCCGGGTCCCCCACCCGGCAGGAGCCTACCCCAGGGCCAGCCCGAGGGCTGCGCGCGC